TGAACAGTTTGTCAGCGCAACTCCTAATACACCGCTGCACAGAATTTCGTCAAACTTTGCAGATATTTAGGACACAATGTGTAGATGTGCATATTACCAGGAAATTCCGATTCCTTTATTTTTTCGGGAATTTCCGCACTTTTAACTTAGGCATTTGACCATACCTTGAATACAGAGATGAACAGTTTGTCAGCACAACTCCTCATAAACCGCTGCATAGAATTTTGTCAAACTTTGCAGGTATTTAGGACACAATGTGTAGATGTGCATATTACCAGGAAATTCCGATTCCATTATTTTTTCCGGGAATTTCCGCACTTTTAACTTAGGCATTTGGCCATACCTTGAATATAGAGATGAACAATTTGTCAGCGCAACTCCTCATAAACCGCTGCACAGAATTTCGTCAAATTTTGCAGATATTTAGGACACAATGTGTAGATGTGCATATTACCAGGAAATTCCGATTCTTTTATTTTTCCGGGAATTTCCGCACCTTTAACTTAGGCATTTGGCCATACCTTGAATATAGAGATGAACAGTTTGTCAGCGCAACTCCTCATAAACGGCTGCACAGAATTTCGTTAAACTTTGCAGATATTTAGGACACAATGTGTAGATGTGCATATTACCAGGAAATTCCGATTCCTTTATTTTTCCGGGAATTTCCACACTTTTCAACTTAGACTTTTTTGCCATATTTTGAATATAGAGATGAACAGTTTGTTAGCACCACTCCTCTTAAACTGTTGTACATAGTTTCGTCAACCTATGCTGATATTTAAGACATATTCCATTATTTTATCCCAAAGAGTTTTGCCTATTATTCAAGAAAATTTCTCACCCCTCTCCCCCCACTTCAAATTAATGTGTGGATTTGTATATTTTCAAGAAATTTTGATTCCATAATTTATCTAGAAACTTCATTCCACATTTAAATGTCCTCATATGCAAGACATTTTGATGTGAAGATTTTTTGCAATTATTGCTCTTTTTGATCTATACTATGTACATGTATTTAAAGTGCACTGTGCCTTTCATTAAATGTGTTTCACCGTCAAGTTATGGGGGAGCGTGGGGTATGTGAGCTAGCTCACTTTTTCTTTTTTCATTTTAGTCATTTCCTGGCAAGTTTCATTGAAATCAGAACAAAACTGTAGGTGGAGAACTACAGGTATTTGGAAAATATATCTAAGAAATATTTATTTTCAGTAACCATGGTTGCATCGTTCATCGAAATCAAACACCAATATACAGAATTATGTATCAGAGTGTAGTCTACTTGTGTGCCAAAGTATACATTGAAATCAGACCAAGTTGTACATTGTAAAAGCATTTTGAAAATATTTCAAAGAAATTACTATTTTAAGTAAAAATGGCCACAACCTTCATCGAAATAAAAAACGGATTCACAGAATCTTGTATGATTGTGTAGTCTACTAGTGTGTTACGCTGAATTCGGACCAAAACTCTAAGATTTGTTACTAAAGTATTTTGAAAATATTTCAGAGAAATGTATTTTTTTAATAACGATTACATCGCTCAACGAAGTAAAAAAAACAAGCTAATTCAGAGAATTCGTGTCCCCCGCTTAGGGAAAAAGTCGGCTCCCCCTGACTGAATTTGTAGAATTATTAAATGTATACATGTATACTGAAGCAAATAAAATACATGTATGTCAATATGCATATAAAGATTTGATTGCTTATTCTTTATTATGTGTATAGAAGATTTTTTTATATGGAATATTTATCACACTGTAATGATGATTTTATAACCTCATAAATTTTTCATTTCACATGCTGAATACTATCATTTAGTAAAAAAAAAAGTATTTAAAAAAAAAAAAAAAAAGAAAGGGTCGGCCGAGATTCGATCCCGGGACCTCTCACATTTGAAGCGAGAGACATAACCACAAGACCACGGAGTCGCTTTACTCGGAGTGAAGTATATGCAGAACTGAAGTCACATACTATTAGTTATCCAGGTCCAATCAAGGGTGTACGGGGATTTACCCCGGGTTTTATTCCATACACCGACTTTGTAACCAATCAAAGCTCGTGTTACAAGCTAGATAGGAAATAAATATATATATTCATGTTTTCATGTTCGGTATTCTCAAAATTTTACACAATCCATGGTGTTTGATTTATTTAGCCTTTATTAAACACTTCTAATAGATGTAATAAGAACATAAAGTCCGCCGAGAACCTGTTTTATACGCAATAACTCTCCTCATGCCCCTGCGCTAAAAATAGCGACATGTAATACTATAAATACTAATAAACCAAACGGGGCGGGGCACTTTGAGAGGGGCGAGAGACGTCCTAGGGAGTTTTGGTATAAAATTACATTGCATAAGCTCAAAATCTTCTTGAAATATCGCCCGGAAATGATAGTGTTACACACAGACAGAATGTATAAATTTACGACCTTGAACTTTGACCTTTTGACCTCAAAATCAATAGGGGTGTTCTTTAGGTCACAGGGAGTTGTTATGTAAAATTTCATTGCGATAGCTCAAATGGTTCTAGAGATATCGTGTGGAAACGAAAGTGTTTTAACAGACAGAATTTGCTTATTTATGACCTTGACCTTTGACCTTTTGACCTCAAAATCAATAGGGGTCTTCTTTAGTCCATAGGGAGTTGCTATGCTAAATTTCATTGCAAAAGCTCAAAGGGTTCGCGAGATATCGTGTGGAAACGAAAGCGTTACAGACAGACAGAAAGACGGACGGACGGACGGACGGACAAACCCAAATTAATATCCCCCACTTTACAAGCGGGGGACAAAAAACATATACATAATATAAGAGAATTGTGTAACATATAGTGTGTCTACTAGTGTTCCAATTTATTCATTTGTTCATTTTGCATAGAAAAATACTATAAATTTTAGTTTTGAACTGAAAGTCCAAAATATCAACGAAAATAGACATCCGATTTAGAAGAAATCATGAAAAACACTACTTTCATAAACACTGTTTATCAAGGGAGATAATTTAACACTGGTTTTAAAACCCCATGTTGTCCTTTAAATAGGTCACAGGTATCCAATGATAAAAAAGATAGTTGTTCCATGTACATTTTAAAAAAAATCTTTGATGAGTAAAACAATATGCGTTTCTTTTTTTGTTGAGTAAATATAAAGACACGGTGAACTGCAAGCGTGAGATAAACAAATTTACGATGACCAAATATATTATTCAATCATTTTATATTTCATTTTGCATTATTCGTTCTTAAGTTATTTTTTTGGTCGGACTTTGAAAATCTCTTATTATATAAATTGTTTCTTATATTTTAACCACTCTAATTATCTTCTTTTCTTTTATATTATTGGATGAAACAGCACGCGAGCGAACATTAATTTACGGTAAATACACACAGAAAAATACACCCCTTCGTTTATTAAGGGAGAGCTGAGACAAAAATAAGGAAGAATAGATACATGTATTTGTTGGAACAAAAGTTTGACAAGGAAAAGAAGGAAACTAATCCAAACTGGAAAAAAAATCGATCATGTAGGAGGAGGGGGTCAATTCAATCTATTTTGACTAGAAAAATGAAACATTAATTAACAGGTACACTGTACATGTATTAATTAAGGTTTGTATAAACATATCATAAAACCGTAAGGAAAGGATTTTGAAAAACATTTTTCAAACACACCCTCCCGGTACTACTGCATGACATGTATAATATGTAATTCTGAATTTCACTCTAAAGGCTGCATAAATATTCAAACTTACTTATCGATAATTAAATACATGTCGTGTACAAATACAAGTACATGTCATATGCAATTTCTATACACTTCAAAAACAGTTGGAATGATAGAAACTTATACCGGGTACTTTAAACAAGGAATCATTCTTTCTTTTAAGAAATATTACAAGATTGGAAAATGAAATCCCAACTCTTTGGCTATATAATATGTATACATACTTCTTCGTTGCATTATCACATTCGAAGGATTTTTCAGAGTTTATTGTCATGTTGTTAAGAAGATGGGGGAACAAGGCGTGCAGAATGCCTACAGCTTCAGATATTAAGAAATCACATTCATTTTATGAATTAAGTATTTAATTTAAGTTTGCATTATTAAAATTTATGACAAAAAAAGTTTTCCGAGAAAAACTCCATCCGCGTGTCATGTAAATTCTTACAAATTCCTGTTGAACTATTTAGTCATCAACTTACAAAATGTTAGTGTGTGTTTGACAGAGACTTGCTGTAACAGTGAAAGACAATAGAAAGATACCGGGTATATACACATTTGAAAAAAGTCTCTCTTTTGAAAAAGAGATTTAGAAAACGATGAAGATCAAGAAATCTAAAAAAAGGAATATAAAAAATATTGCAATGCTCGCCTAACCGCTTTACACATACAGAAACTGTTGTGCAATCTGATTTATTATACCTCTACTAATGTATTCCTATATAAAAGTAAGGCAGTAAAATGTGAATAATTCCATAAAAATCTCAGTGAATGGACTAATTCCCCGTGCTTTAGTTAAATGAGCTAATTCTTGCTTCGGAAGCTAATTCCCCGGTTATCCGTAACCATCTATATATTACTTTTGTGTTTATCTAATAAGTTAATAAAATTAATTACCCGTGCTTTTAGTCTTGAAGCTAATTCGTAATCCTCTATTTGTATCGGTATAATATAACAGTTAAAAAGTATATCATTGAGGGAGTTAGCAAGATTCCAGTTCCCCTAGACCAGGACTATTTCCCTCGGCGAGCTTCGTCTCAATTGGGGAACTGGAATCTTGCTAACTCCCTCAATGATACATGTATACCCAGTACTTTAATTGTATATTGTTAACAGTATTGTAGGAAAAATGTTATACAATGTATATATTGAAAAATACTTTTACTATGAAGCAGAATCGATCATTAATCAAAACGTGCAACGACAATTTAAAATAAAAAGTTAACGAGAGTAAGATGAGTAAGAATCTCGTAAGATGAGTAAGATTAAGAGATTACCTTCACTGCTCTGAAAGTTTTCCTGGCTATCTGTTCACGTAAATTAGAATGGCTCAAACGGAGAATCTCAGAATTTCTTGGAAATAACCAGAAAGTAAAGTCCACAAGAATTTTTTTTTTATCTTAGCAGTAAAATGTCCCGAATGTTTTCACTTTTTCATATCAGTAATATTTAAAACCTCAATTTGTCCATGTATGATATCAAAGTTTCGTAGGCTTAAAAGCAGACGCATAACTGGATGTATGATAAGAAATTTTAAACCGTCAAGTGTCTGCAGTAACCTGTCTTCATTGATTTTATTTTTTTAAATAAAGATTAAGATGGATACGGAAGAGCATTTCAGTTCAAAACATATTCAAACAATACAAACCATACTGACCTCCAAAAACATCAGAAGATCAGGTACCATGGTGGAGTAACCATCCACCGTCGACTGATTTTTGTGTAAACGAAAATATCTGAATAAATTTCAGTGTGTAAAATAATGACCTTACAATAAGTATTTACTAGATGATACCTCGCGCAAGTGCGGGAAAAAATAGTTTCTATTTTTTTTTAAAATACGAACTGGATTTATTCCAAAGAGCATCTTTCAGTGTCTACCGACACTTTTAAAAATATACGTCAGGTTTATAGCATGACGAATAAACACCGCAGTTAGTTTAAGAAACAGGAATAAAGAATTGTAAGATATGTACACTCATTTATTTACCTTAACCTTAAAAATTGGCATTTTCTCCTTACAAGTTATAAATCACATTTATTTTAACATCTGTTGTACTATGTTTTACATCATGTACTATACTGCTGTTCATTGACATTTTTTGTTTACATATTCAAAAATTTACTTAATATCTGTAAAACTATTTTATTGCCTTTTTTACTTAGGATACTCTGTTTAAAGAATATCAAAGATAAAAGAAGCAAACGTGCACATTCGTTTTTCAGCATTTAAAAAAAAAAAAGAAAGAAAGAGGGCGTACGAGGCGTGGAATACCAATGCTCTGAGATATTCAATATATTCATGGAAGAGTTATATTTTTCTAAAATAATTATAATGTTCTCAGTATTGTCATCCTCAAAACATTTTATTATTTAATTTTACTGAACGACTTATCATTTGACAATCTTTTTCAGAGTTGACAGTTACAAATGTAAGCATATTTAGTGGAAAATGGGTTTATTTGAGCCATAAAAATGAATTTTTAACATAAATGGGTCAAATCTCCATTTTTCGGTAACGCTTAAGGAGGCTCATTACACCACGTTTTGATGACGTACAACACACAAAAAAAAGTTTCATTGTTTCCACCGTTTTTCTCTGGGGACGAGTTGTAAAGGCACCTTTATAATGATGACCCTGACCTTAAAACGCTTTTAAAAAATAGACGAAACATGCGATGGTTGTTAACAGTGAAAACAATCTAACGGATTCATTATGCATAAACCAAGATGGATTGCTTTTAAGCATGCACAGAAACAAAAGAAAACAACAGCCAAATCTTCGCCAAACAAGTAACTTGCTATATCATTAGCAAAACAGTGAGCTCTATCAATCAATGACATGTTTGTATTGAGGAAATTCGAGTTCAAATCTACAACCTTGTTTAAATAAAATAAATGTTATTTACTTGGAATGCACTATTTACTGTGCTGGTGTTGATTTATATACTTGCTTTATTGATTTAAACATATACTCTTGAAATTTAAAGCTTTCTTCTGAATTTTAGATGTAATGTTCAAACGTTCCTTAGTGTTTTGAGGCCTGGGTAATTATGAAGGATAACTGTTGAAAGTGGACTTGTTTACCAAATATTTTTTTAAATTGGAATTATCATTTCGTTAAAACATTCTTCATTTAATTTCTCGCACGCAATTCATTGAAATACATTCCTTGTCTCTTTAGAGCTCATTTTCCTAATATTTTATGCACCGATTAAAAAGATAATGACATTTATTGTTTTTTTTTTTTGTTTTTTTTGGAGAAAACTTTTTTCTAATAAAATCAATTTTAGGTATTAGATGTTCATCATTTGACACTAACTAAAGTTCTGAAATTCTGAAAATAATAAACTTGAAATAAAACATTCACTTAAATTAGAAAAAGTCTTAAAAATTTCATTAAGAATATTCATGAAATCAATACATCCATTTGAATATTTGACATCTACATTATAAGTGGTTCTGTAATGAAATCTAAAATAAACTGTGGATGTTACGAATCACCTTAAATAATAGAAACGTAAATGTGCAATCTCTTTCATTTGTCCAAAAAAAAAAAAAAAAAAAAAAAAAAAAGTCTGAACCCATTCTGTATGAAAATCGAACATTCATGAAAAAATGTACGCTTCAACTCGTTCATCTAAATCACACTGACAGACATCGATGATGCATATACTTAGTAGCGTAGTGGTTAATGCAGTTAAGGTATACCTTTACTCTGATGACAAAAAAAAAAAAAAAAACACTGATAAGAACGAACAACCACTTATTGAACATTGTACATCTATGATTCTTGTGTTAAATTTCAATTTTTAAATAACTAGGTCAATGACCTACTTTTCATGCTAGTGGTCCATGAGTATTTCTCGGAAAATACCTCGATTTTTCACACTATAGCCATTTTGTTCTCACAAAATATTACAAGCAACAAAACTCTTCAAATAATAAAATATTATAGCAATGGAACAGCTTTGCTTTATATAGATAAATCGTATGGGCCTTGGGCCATAAACTTTTCATTATTTGCAGACAATATTTCCTCTGTCATATTTCTATTTTTTCCAATTCTTAATCGAATATAACAAAAATCTGAATGATAGGATTTTTAAATTATTTTTAGCCTCAGGTTATTTTTGTTGTCCTACTTCTAATGGTATTAATATTATATGGGGTCAATGATCAAATTATTGAGATATGTTGTCTGGAATGGTTTTTGTTAATATTTTTGAATTTCTTAATTTGATAGCATTCAATAATTTGAAATAATTTATGAGCTTTAACACATATAATATTTGCAAAATGATGTTTAAAAATACATGTAACCTTGCATTGTTATTAATATTGCAAGAAATATTTTTTTTTTTTAATTTAGCCCGAATTTTCTCTGCATTACCATACATTGACTTTTGTTCCTGGATATTTTCTTCAAATAATAAAATATTTAATTTTTAAATTGATATTGAGTTAAGACTTGGTTATTTTATGCATTTAGAACAACTTTTGATTTGACATAGTACACTTTATAAAATTTCCTTTCTGTCTTCTGAAACCTGAGTAAACGTCATCCTTAAGGAGACTTCCGGTTTGCTTATCGTAATGAGCACGAAGGAATTTGGCATCGCATAAATTGGCCTTTTGTGTCAACTATTAGTAGTGAAAGTTTGCCTTCTACGTTCTAGTGAGAGGCAAAGTGTATATATGTTTATATTTTGTAAGTTTTTGATTTTGAACATTGTACAATGTAAATAATTGAACAATTAAAGGGTGTTCGAGATACCTGTCACGTCCAGTGGCGGCCATCTTGGCGGATCAAATATTTTATTCAAGGACAGGAAGTATTGTAGAGAGAATACCGTTATCATGCAAATGGTGGTATTGTGTCTCTTTACGCATGTGTGCCAAAGTCTGGTAATTTGTTTGAGATAACTCTCGACGGAAAAGCACCAACACATTATCTGTTAGAAGGAATAAAGGTTTTTAAATTTATACTGACATATATAGTAGTGTAAATGTAACGGATTTTAACTAGATATTTTCCAGTCAAAAATTCAGTGAGACAAGGTCTGCTTTGTTATATGTTTTATCAGCAGAATCCTAAGCTTTGTTGTTAAACAGAACGAATTAATAAAGGGTATTCCAATTCCAATGTCAGAAAAGACAGGACTTACGTTTTCAACAGCATGCAGATGATACAACATTGACATTTGAAGTTTTAAAATTTTTTTGATTTGTATGGAAAAGCATCCGGGGCCAAAATTAATGTTCAGAAATCTGAAATAATGTGCATAGGAATATTGGAGATATTTTTGAACATGAAAAAATATCACTTAATATTTCTCAAACAAATTTCATGAAAATATTTGGTATTTATTTTGGTAAAAATAGAATATAATGTGATTATTTGAATTGGGGTGAAAAGTGCAAACAATCAAACAAATTATCAATTTATGGAGACAAATACGTTTATTAATTTAAGAGGTATTGTAATCAATTGTTTACTTATGTCTAAATTATGGTACACCTTGACGGTTATTTCAGTCCTTCAGTGGACAAGAGAAATTATTCAAAATCAGTGTTCTAATTTTGTCTTGAATTTTGAAGCTCACTTAGTTTCTTATAAAACTATAATTGGTGAGAAACATTAATGTGGACTGAAAATAAGTGATATTCATTTAAAAATGTTATTATTTAGACTAAAAGTTTTACTCAAATATTTTTGTCACACAAAAGAATGTTTATGGAAAGATAAATTCAATTATTTTTTTACTAAGATAGGTAATTTAAAAGTAGGTATGGAAACATTTTACTACAGTTTAACAAAAATGATTTTAAAAGCTTACCTTGTTTTTATGTAGAATTATTTAGTGCGTAGTATGTTGTAAAAGCCCGAAAAAGGGAACGATATTTTTAATTACTGTTTATTTTGAAATCCGGAAATAATGAATGGTAACAAAATCTTATATTGGAAACATTTTATTAAATAAATGCTGGTATAACTCATGTGAAGAGATATATCATACGAAGTTATTCCTGGTTTTTTACCATTGTCTAGCATTGTTGAAATAACACATGAAGACAATTCAGAAATACGTGAATCATTTATTTAGGAAAATAACACAAATTAACTCTCTATTTTACCAGATGATTGGAAAGAATATGTTTTGAAAAATGAGTACAGGAGAGATGTCTTTAATTCTGAGTTTCTTACTTTACGTATTTAAGCAAGAATAAAGTGTGTTCAATTCATGCACAACCAACATATTTTATAAAATATTGGTTGAACAACTCTTTCAAATGCCTTTATCTGATACATACTGGAACCAGAAGTCTCTGTCGAGACTGGAGCTCTACTGGTTTTTACGTTTAGCAAAGGACGAGAAAAGTAGCAGTTT